GCCATCCCCAGTCTTCGTGGATCTCCAAACTGCAAGCTTCTTTTGAGACGGCAAAATCGAAACCTTCTCTCCTGGGCAAACCTGACACTCACTCAACTCATTGTACACCTCCTGAGGATCCCACTCCAAATGTGCCTCCTGTGATGACCCTGCTGGATAATACGTTCCATTTTGTTCTTTTGGATCTTTACTCCAATTGCCCACGTACACACTACCATCTGACCATTGAAAACTCCCACTTCCTTTGGGCAAACCATCTTCCCAATATCCATCATACCTATTCCCATTTGTCCACACAAACGACCCTTTTCCCCATATGCATCCATTCCTCCATTCTCCAGAATACTGATTTCCATTCTTCCAAACGTAATTCCCTTGACCATCCTCCAGCCCTCGTTTCCATTCTCCTTCGTACCTATCTCCATTCAGAAAACACTTCACTCCTTGGCCGTGCTTTAGATTCATACTCCATTGTCCTTTGTAGGTCTCGCCATTAGGGGCTGTGTAGCTTCCTGTTCCATCCATGTACCCACTTTTAAATTCGCCTTCGTATATGGCTCCTGAGGGCCAACTGAACCTTCCTCTTCCCATGGTCTTGCCTTTGTACCATTCTCCCACGTACATGCACCCATCAGTCCACAAGTATTTGCCTTGGCCATGTGGGAAACTATCTGCCCATTGGCCCTTGTAGTAGTCTCCATTAGGAAGAACCTTCTCGGCGAGATATATTTCGAACGCTTCTGGGTTTTCCTCGTGGTGGTTTCCTTCGTCTGAGTGAGCCATGTACATTGCGCCTAACCCGAATATGCTGTTCGCTCGCTTCTTCGCAACAGCTTGCGTCTTTCGAACTGTGAATTCCCATGCCTTCATAACTCCGCTTTCTCTACCAATCATTTCTCTCTACTCCTGGAAATTGTCTTTTTGCTAAAATCTAAGCTTGTCTAAGGAAAATCATAGCTGCCCAAGTAAAGAAATTTAATTAAGAGGAATATTTCACACATCCCACGCAACCAAGATGAATCAGGAATCAGAAACATCACAAGCCTGTGATGTTCCACCAATGCTAGAACATTCAAGGGGAGTGTCAGAATTATATGGGTCTCTCTGTTTCGTGGTGATATTTTCAAATTTCTTATGCTCCCGGGGAATGATCACCACATTGCCCGTCGAATTTCTGGTTTGCCTTGCCGGCCAAGCCAATGAATTGAGTTGTTTGAAATCAAAACGTTAGGAATTGTGTCGTGCAGTTTCTCCTCCGATGTTTGTAATTGCATTTTTGCGATTGAGAGGGAGAGACTCGTTCATGTCCTACAACCTCTAAGAACCACGACATGTGTGGGGGAGTCCAGCGCTAAATCAAAGTGTATGATTGTTTACTATCCTTGGATTCTCCAACAGATTTTCCCATTCTTTTTCGCCTTTGTCCATCAACAAATTTTCCAATTCAGGCAAGCAGACTATGGGGGGGAAAAAAATGTAGTTTCTTTAATAATAACCAACCGATGATTCTGACCAAATGAGAATTTTCAAGTACTGATTTGATTATTTAATCTCCTTGGCGGGTTCCGCTGGAAAAACAAAAATAAAGGCGAACAAACGGGTAAAAATAAAAAGAAAAAAAGAAAACAAATCACACCCTGTCGTTACAAAATAAACTGACTTGGGAATCATATTAATCGGATGGCTGTTATTTGTTAAACAGATTTTAAATATTTAACTAGATTAACTTGATTGATTAAACCATTAAAATCTTCCTATATTCTTGGAAGGGTGCGACAAAATGGGTGGTCTAGGGGGTTCATGATCAGTTTAGGATCAGGTTCATTCATTGAATGCTCGGAGATAAGGCCAAATATGGCGTTTTAACTACTTTCAACGCTGGATTGTTTTCTCGGTGGAAGTGAACTGTGTTTTGTCTCAAATTCATATGCAATATCAATATTGATATTTTTGCTGAAACATAGGTATCTTCCTGTTGGAGACAATCCTATTCGAGACACTGTCAGGTACTAAATATGGACACCTCTCTCAATAAGGATTCGAATATTAGTTCGCTATCTTGTGAAGGACTAGCCCTTCTATGTCAATATGAATATTAATATATTTTTTTTGGTACAAAAGAGGGCTAAGCCCAACAAGAAAAATTAAAACTCAGGGGAATCAGATCCCATACAATCATCCAAAAGCAAATATTAATATGAATATTAATATTAATAAACTCTCAAGTTAATACTCGCACTAGTCCCTTTTTTGGGCCATGAATACTGGTACTAGTCTTATATCGTGGGGGTGGGGAACTTTTACTTGTTTATTTTTGGGGCCAGGGGAAGCGAAGCTTGGGTGTTGATAGCTCAAGGGACCCGAGAGACTTAGGGCCCAATAAAGTGAAAAGTCCTTTAATTGATACAGACTCTGGAGATAGCGTTCAAAGAAAGGCCTGCTTTAAAGCCCTATTTGTTGCAACCGAAGACAAGGAGCGAGAATTACCATCAAGTTTCAAAAAAAAAATGTAATTATTAAGAAATTCCAATAAAGATCTAAACAGTACATAACGACAAATTTTAAAATAGAAAATGACAACTTTTAACTAGTCATTGAGATTTGTTGATAGTTATTTTCCTTTTCTAGGCCCTTATTGTAATTCTTTCAAACAAGAATCTGTTTTTTGTATATTTATTCTACAGACCAAGCCCGGACAGGGTTGGGTATATTTGAAGAACTTGCTTTAGTTCCTCATGACTTGACGACACAAACTTTGAATTCTTGCTGAAAAAGTGAATATATTTAATATTCAACAATACTCGAACGGATGGCTTCTAATAAAAAGATACAGTGGCTACTGGCTAGCAAAAAAAAAAAAAACCAGGCTAAACTTAATCACCGCTCACTCCATGAGCACCTTGAGTTCAGTGATATACAGATAGCACGTGTAATATTTAATTTAACTATAATTTATATCCAGCAAGTGACGTGTATGTGTGAAAAGATGTTTGGATTATTCAATGTGTCATAAAATCTCGAGGATGTTAAACGAGTTAGTTAGCTATCCATTTCATTGTTGCAGACTATAGTAGGCAGCGGCAGATACATGCTCCACTTTTCAGAATTCAGTGCCAGGTATTGATATGCGTGGCATGGATCGCTATCACAGTCAAAATTTCGCTGATCACTTTATTTATTCGTATTTATGAGGTTCGTTGGATTATCTGGCTTTAATTGCTCGCTTTTATTTAATTTTCAGGCACTAATAGTGAAAGCCCAGATTTGGCGGGAGTGACACGCATCACAATGATTTTAATATTAAGCCTGGAGCCTCGGGATTTGGATCTCTCCACTTCTTCTCCCATCTTCTTTCCCTCCACTATCCTCTTTTATCCTTCACAACCATTGGATCAAAATTCCAATAGTCCAGATTTAACATCTTATAAAAATAATATTATTAAAAAAAAATAAATAAATTTAAACTGTTAAAATATGGTCTAAACAGTTAACAACTGTAATTAAAAAAGTTGAAAAAAATTTGCTCTGTAATAATAGTCTGTAGATATAAGCTGTTCAAATTAGATTTTAACAGTTTAAATTTATTTATCTATTTTTATAATTATATTTATTTTTATAAATATTGTAAAATATTAAATCTGGACCATTGAAATTTTGATCTAATAGTTATGAAGGAAAAAAAAGTAGCGGAAGGGAAGAGGATGGGAGAAGAAGTGGAGAGAATCCAACCGGGGCCTCGACGTCTTTGATAAACCGATTAAAGCTCGCTTTCTTAAAAGTTAAAACGCTTTCAAGGGGGAAGAAAGTATATATGGCAAGTGAATAAAAAATTACTACCAGTGCGGACTTTTCTGATGATGGGGCTGATAATCTCTCATAATCTTATTTGAATGGACTTTGTGTGTTTTTTTTTTTTTAAAAGCCAATGGGAATAGAGGCAACGAGGTGAGGAGGGGTGAGACTGGCTGTGATTGGGAAAGGGGGGGGGGAGGCGATAGAGGAAGGCGGTAGAAAATGGGAAGCAGGCGACATGAAAGGGGGAGTATTGCTTTTGTCGCACATTGGGCGATGCGAAATATAACCACGTACTCACTACTCAGCACGTGGTCATTCTGGCCGCCATCTAAATTCAACCCATCCCTTCTTTCCCTTCCACCTTCCCACTTTGCTTCCCCCATGACGTGACCTTATTTTATCGCTCTTTTTGTAGTAAATTTTACTTAAAAAAAATTTCTTAATAAGAATTTATTTGATTTTTATTTTTATTTTAAATATAATAAAAAATATATTTATTATAAATAACTAATTTAATTAATTTTTAATCTACTTAAATTAGTTCTTGTATTAAAGAATGAATGTAGTATTAATTAATTAAATAACTAAAATTTAATATATATTTTTCTATTTTACATTGAAAAAACAAGGATGTTCATAATAGATTTGGGATGAAATGAACCCATTCTGAACATTGAGACGGGATAACTTTTTGATCTCGTGAATCTTCCCCGGTTGATGGCAGATGGGATAAGGACATCCACCAGAAAACATTATCATCTTCCCCTACTATTCATCACCAGCCAACAATCATTAAAAAAATTCCCTAATTAAAAGAATTAAAAATTCTTGAGCGAACAAGCCAACTCATAGGAAGAATCGGGGGCTAAGATTAACTAGTCTGGACTCCTGATTGAAAAAAATAAGCTGTGCAGCTCAAGGTAACGTAGGCATGAATGTACTACCTCCGTTTTGATTATACAAACAAGATGTCATAATTAGTAAAAAAATACAAGGATATAAATGGGAAGTAGCTAAATCGAACAAGGCAAGTAGCGTAAGAGGCGGATCGGATCAAAGAACGCTCATTTGTTTAAGCGCGTGGGCGTACGCACAGGCTTGTCTTCTTCTGTCGCCACTGATTTGATTTCCCGCTGATGACTAACCGCCACCTCAGCTCCTCCTTCCCTATAATTCGCGGCTCACAATACAATACAACCACTTGAGTCTCCCAGCTCTCAAACGCCAATAGCCAGCTTTGCCTTCTCCGACGTTCTAGAATTCTGTCTGCACCCACATGTATGCCTTCATTGCTCTCGATATTACTGATCCGTTATCAGGCATTATATTCCTTTCCGCGTTGCTTCGTTTTTACTTTTATCTTCCGCTTTTCTGTTTGGAGTTCTTCAAAACTGCGTCTTTTTTTTTTTTTAATTGGTTTCTCTTAAACAGTTCATCTGCGATGGCTAGCGACGAGAAGCAGAAAGATGCCGAGTTTTTCTTCGATCAGAACGAAGAGGATGCCAACGATGACGATGAATCTACCAAGCTTGTCATTGAGAGTAGTAGTGACAGCGGAAGCGACGACGACGGCAATGGTGGGCCTGACACTTTCTCATCGCAGCAATGGCCCCAGAGTTACAAGTAAAGTCTTCTCTGACTTGTCTCTTTGTGCATCTATCTCCCCATGATAACTTCAATACCGTTTTTTTACAATGCATTTTAGAAACCTTGAAATTCCTCGAATCATGCTCATTAAGTTGATATTCGGTACTCGTGAAGCATTTTATGGGCCCCGATGAGAATAACGAATTCGGAGGGGGACCGATGTTTTAGATTACTTAATAAGAGGCGTTAGAATTATTTTTCGCATTTGATGTCCAGTTTTTTCACTTATTTCAGCAAACCTGATGAACCTAGTCTTCCGCTTTAACTCACTGATTGGTGCCTTTTCTTTTTTGTTATTCTTGGATTTCTTATGATAGAGAGACTGTCGATTCATACACAATTGCTGCATCGCCGAATATTGGAGCAGCTGTTCTCCGAACACCGAGTTTGATATATTCAAGTTTTGTCAATCGTTCCAAGAGTAGTTTAAGCCTAGATGGAAAGACTCCTTTATTATCTGATCATGAAGACTTGATTCAAAAGAAATCGTCATGGTTGGAGGGAGTTTCATTGCAAAAGCAACTTACTGGAGAATTACCCATTGGTCAAGGATGTAGCCTCACTCAAACAGTTTTCAATGGTAAGTTGTTTCGTCGCAGTGAGTCAGCGATTTGTTGCGACATTAGTGGTTGTCAGTGTAAACGAATGAGAGGTTAACCTTAGGTTTAAAAACCTTGTTAAGAGCTTTATGATGAATTCCTGTTTATCTGGTTCATCCTTTGCATCCAAGAACTCCCACTTTCTCACGTTCTGTTTCGACTTAATCACTCCCCAAGGTGTTTCTGTACCTGGCAGGGGTTAACGTGATGGCTGGAGTTGGCCTTCTGTCCACGTCCTATACAGTGAAACAAGCTGGATGGGCAAGTTTGCTGGTGCTGGTTCTTTTTGCAGTTGTATGTTGTTACACAGCCACACTTATGAGATACTGCTTTGAAAGCAGAGAAGGCATCCTAACATATCCAGATATTGGAGAAGCAGCCTTCGGAAGAGCAGGCCGTCTTGCCATATCTGTGAGTTTGTTTAGTTATTTAAATATGCTTAATTGCTAAGCAATGCTTATGAGGCAGTCTGAAGTGTCAACTGGGATTTTGTTGTTTTTGGCTGTGGCACTGCTTCGCATATCTTTATTTGCTCATTTCTAGCTTTATATTATAACCTCTAAATCTATTAGTGCCTGTGAGAGGTGTTCTACTTCTTTTATTTGGCCTACTCTTGAATGATTCCAGTTCTTCCTTATCATTTATACCTTGTTTTATTTACATTTTAAGATTGTAACATGTTCCATGACACGTCATTTCCCCAATCATTGGTGTTCAATGTAAATTCTATATGTATTATGCATAAGCGAGAAAAATCCCAAGTGCTGACATGAACTGCTTTTAAAATAGGCAGAGTGGTGGTTTTGCTACTCCGTTAATATTGTCGTGTTTGGATCCTTTTACAGATTATTTTAAGATAATGATATGTTCCGTGATGTGTCATTCCTTCTACCATTGGTGCTTCATCTAAATTCTATATGTATTATGCATGAGTGGAAAATCCCAAGTGCTGAAATAAATTGCTATAAAATACACGGAATGGTGGTTTCATAATCCAGTATTTACTAATATTTTCCCTTTTGGATCTTTTTGCAGATTATTTTGTACACCGAGTTATATGTAAGTGCTGAATCTGTTCTTATTGTTATCATTCTTCTTAGATATGAAATAATACCATGTTCTTTTACTCTGTATGATTGTATGTGTAAGACCTCTTTTCTTGAGTGCAGTCATACTGTGTGGAGTTCATCATCTTGGAGGGAGATAACCTAACTAGGCTGTTTCCTGGAACGTTCCTGGATTGGGGTGGTTTCCAGCTGGATTCCATGCACTTGTTTGGAATTTTGACCGCACTTATTGTCCTCCCCACTGTTTGGTTAAGGGACCTTCGCGTAATCTCGTATCTTTCAGGTTTTGCAAATTCTGAGGAAGATTTTTCTTTGTTATTAAATGCTCCTAATTTAGCATGCACTTATCACAGCTTTCTGAATAATTCTGCAGCTGGAGGGGTTGTTGCAACGATTCTTATTGTGATTTGTGTGTTTCTTGTTGGGGTAACAACGGATGTTGGGTTCCATCACCCAGGTCAAGTTGTGAATTGGAGTGGCATTCCATTTGCTATTGGTATCTATGGGTTTTGCTACTCAGGACATTCAGTTTTTCCAAACATTTACCAGTCCATGGCTGACAAAACCAAATTCACCAGCGCCTTAATTATATGGTACAGAACATTCTTTGGCACTTGCTAGAAATTTTGTTTACCAACACCTGATTAACTCACTATTGGTTTCATGTGTTCAGCTTTGTTCTGTGTATTTTAGTATATGGAGGTGTTGCAGTCATGGGATATCTCATGTTTGGTGAAGCCACCTTGTCTCAGATAACACTGAACATGCCGCCACATTCCTTTGTCTCTAAAGTTGCATTGTGGACCACAGTGAGTGCGAAGTCTTTGAGCTTCTTTAATCGTTATTTGCTTTTGGACGTTTCTGGGGATTATAGTTTATTATTGTTCTTTGCTCTTTCAGGTAATTAACCCGTTCACAAAATATGCTTTGTTGATGAACCCGCTGGCGAGAAGTATAGAGGAGTTGCTACCTGCCAGAGTTGTGGATAGCTATTGGTGTTTCATTACACTTAGATCAGCGCTTGTTATATCTACAGTCTGTTGTGCCTTTCTGATTCCTTTCTTCGGTAAGTTACAAACTTTACTTTTGTAATACAAAAATTTCTATCGTATAAAATCCCAATCAGTAACGGATACTGAACAAAATCCTATCATTGTCGATTTTTTTTTCTTTTCATCCATTTTGCTCAAGGGAAATTTCCTTATTAACTATCAAGGATAGAAATATTAGTTTTGTGGGCTTTTAATATTCAGATAACTTATGCTTATGATTGCCTGGGCTATCCAATGCAAGAAGAAATGTTTAAATTGTCAATGCTCGTAAAGTGTGCTTGATGAAATCTTACTTGTTTTATTATAATTTCAGGACTTGTGATGGCTCTAATCGGCTCTGTACTCAGTATCCTTGTGGTAAGCATATGTTTCAGTTAAACGTGTATGGGAAAGCCAATGTCTGACGACGTTTAGAATACTTTAGATTCAAAAAGCTTCATTGTCAACAAATAAGTCATGTGTTGAAGGAAAACTAAGGTTTTAATTTCTCATTGTAACTTGTTCTCGAAAGTGACTGCCATTCAAATACAATGAAAATCTAGCTTTTTCACCCAGCATGTATTTGCAAGCCAGTCTGTTCCTCTAGGATTTCACAGATTATGCTACTTTAACAGATGCTTGTGAGAAGCTAGGTCTTAGCACACTCGGAACCAGTGCCTGTGATGCTCATAGATAGTCTCTCTTAATTGAGCTGACTATTTTCTATTTAGTATTCATGCAGTAAACATTACCTGCGCCACAGCAAATTTTAGTGCCTTGTATTCGTTAGCTCCTAGTTTGTGTATGGGTAATACTACTAGAAGTGGCCATTGAATTTCCTCAAACGTAGTTCTTTCTTCATTTTGTGAAATGGTCACATGCATTATTAATGTCATTAGATTCTTTGCAGCTTACAGCCTCGCAACTCTATATCTCCATAATGTTTGTTTACATTGATCTGACATGAATTAGACTCTTATTGCTTTGATGATTATTATTATTTTATTATTGTTAATAGCTGTCAGTGTTTAGTGTGGGAATTTCACATGAAACTGCCAAGTGAGATGTTGCTGAATCTTTTTTTTTTTTTTTTTGGCTTCCTTCCCAGGCTGTCATAATGCCAGCTCTATGTTTTATGAAAATTATGCGGGGAAAAGCGACAAAAACGCAGGTTAGTATGCAGCTTATCTTTCAACACTTAGTTAATTGGTTAATCTTAATTTAACTCTTCTATCCTGAAACTTAGGAAATCTAATTGGAATTTATCTCTTCTTCCTTTTCTCTCACTCACTCCCTCTTTTTCTCTCTAATTCTTTATTGTCAGAAACAGTTCCAAATTTCTTAACTTCGAACTGTTGAATTGCTCAGTTTCATCTAATCCATTCTATTATTTTTTCTTGACATAATCAGGTTGCTCTGAGCATCACAATCGCAGTGTTGGGAGTCGTAAGTGGAATTCTGGGAACATATTCTTCGGTGAAAAGACTTGCGGAGAGCTACTAAGAGCATACAGTTCAACCCCTTCATATCTAAACTAACTCGTGCTAGTGAGGTTTCAGTGTGTGACCCCGGAGGCCACTTGGATTATTGTGACCATATATAGACCTTTGTATCACTCTTGAACCTAGTTCATAACCCTAAGCTTTGTAGAGGATCGTAGCAATGCAGCAAAACAAGTGGCATGTTTCCATTGGCCACCCCTTTCAATTTAGTAATTGTAGCTTATAAGCCAGCTCTTTTCTCTCGAAAGCTACGTGGGCTTTTCTGAAAAGGAATCATCACTATGAGCGAAAGGGTCCTCTTCTTCCTATGAGGCTATGACCCGTGATGGAATTGGAAAAAAACGTGAAAGTGAAGAACACTCTGCTGCCGGAATATGTTAATCTGCCTATCAAGCAGATCAATATAGTCTTGATGTTTGATTTATCAATGACTCTTATATGAGGCGCAGAGATTTACAACTGTCCGACGTGCCCTAATTTAGTTTACTTTTGCACGGCTTGAGCTGTGATCGTGTCGTTAAAAAACAAAAGAAAAGAAAGTGCCGAGTTGATTGACAAATCATCCGGCCTTTACCCTCTTCGCGACTTGATCAGCCATAATAGACTCATCTTCTTGTTGAATACAATGCACAGGAAAATTCCTCAGTTCACGCCTTTTTCTGAAGCCAAATCCAAATGAACTTTTTTACATCCTGATTATTCTGGTCTACAAGGTGAGGTCCGCTGCTTGATTTAGTGATTAAAAAAAAAAAAAAAGAGGAATGATTGCTAACGTTGATGGGCTCGTCAAGTCGTAATATTTTGTTGAAAAACGTTCCGAGTTGATTCATCCTCGGACATCATTAGTTTTGGCAAAGGTAAAATAAAGAATCAAATGATACTTCCTCAGTTCCGTTCATAAAGGCATGAAGAGCGGGGGGCAGATCATTGAAGAGATATTTTTTATTTTATTTTTTAAAATATGGTGGAATTCTGATCGACCTATACAGCATGTGGGGACAGAGACTGAAAAACTAGCTAGACCAGAGGGAGTATAAAATTCTTGGTTTGAGTTCAGCGTTTGAGGTGACATAGTTTATGTATTTGGAGATCCTATTATGAGGGATGGCCGGATGGCTATAAAATATATAGAATTTATTATTGAAACGAGACTTACGATGCTATATAATCACATGAATTCGCAGTTGTACCGTGCCACAGTTTATGAGGCCGGACGATGCCTCGTTGCCGGATCAGTCTCCGATTCTCGCGTGAGAGTTAATAATCTTCGCAGAGGGTTTCAGCATTTATCCAGGGAGGACGAAATCAGTGTGATTGTTATGAAAGATTGTACCATTCAACTGTAAATTAATTCGATGACTCGTGCAGAAACCACCAACTGCTTTCATTTGGAAGCGTTGATTGTGAGATTAGCTAGTGGACCTGGTCTCGTGTTTCCAAAAGGTAAGGGAATGAATAAATAGATAAAATATCTTGTCGTCTAAACGAAGTTAGAGGCAACTTAGCAGAAAACGAGCATATATATGTCCTGTTCCGTCCCTGTTCTTACTCTGTTTCTGAAGCTTTTTTTCTTCATCCTCATGTGATCAATTCTTCTGTTTCCCTCGCATCCCTGATACAACTGGTGTGTGTATATATAATTCTCTTGCTGAGATGAGCACGTTACAACTACTTTTAATGTTTCTTTTCTTCCAGCTGCATGAGATAAGTACTGAAACATGGCTGTGTTGTAGGTATCCTAATAAATAATATGCAACCACCACACTGGCATTCTCATTTATTCCAAGCGTAGGTCTTAGGTGATGACACATTTTGTATATATATCTTAGTAACCAACAGGAGTTTCCAGTGTCGTGGTATCCAACCTCAGGGGAAAGAAATCTAACGAAAATGTTTGGTCCAGAATTTTCTAGGGCATTACAACTTTCAGAGTAAGACCCCTAAAAATATCTTGCGGTTCTTTCATGCACATGGAAAGAAGCCAAGTACGTCTCTGTCTTACGTCTTGACCCTGTTAATCTTAATACACTGACACGTCGTTATGGCCGTGGCCGTTGTATCACTGACGCTCGTTTAAAATAGTTTATAAGTAACCTCTCAATTATAATTTACAGAATATGAGTTAAGTATGTAAGATGAATTTTGTCTCGAATTACATAAAATATGCTTACAAGTTATTTCCAACATCATGCCAGACATGGCCTGAGTGATTGTATTCTTAACAGGCAAACATCAATGGAGGAGAGATGCTCCTAGGGATTGCTTTTTGAAATACTATTTTTTATCTTTAATATAAGAGTTAATTTGACATTTAATTTGATTTTAAATATAAGACTCTAATCTACCCTACTTCTCATATTTATCCATTTTTTCAAGATAATCCTTATAGCAGTTGTACATGTTAAATGTTTCATCAAATGGTAATTCTAACTAATATACATAATCAACAAGGGTATTGTAGGAAAAACAATATATTTATTACAAATAACTAACTTAATTAATTTTCATAATCTATTTGAATCAGTCAACTAGCTCTTATATTAAATATCAGAGGTAATATGTGGTATTCAAAGTCAAGTAGGGAGGGCTTCAACAAAGGATGTGGTACCCAAAGTCAAGTGGGATAAGGACAGGATGTAGAGTTGCCAGACTAAGAATTTGTTTGCATTTGCTTATTTTAAGTGTTGATAAATACTTTTTATAGGACAAAAATTTTTCCACATACTTATATCGTACTCCTCCGATCCTTAATATAAGATCTATTTAACTAATTTGATTAGATTAAGAAAATTAGGTAAGTTAGTTAATTATAAGAAATGTGACATGTTTTTTCCTAAAACACCATAATCCTCTTTCTTAATACATCTTCTTCCTCTTTTACTTGATTATGATTGAATGAGTATCTATATGAGCAATTTAGAGAAAATTGATAAATATGATAAATAAGTATTATAGTTAGGACCAAACCAACTCAACAATTGGATTCTATATTAAGGATCAGAAGTTATGGTTAAAAAACTGCTTATAAATTATTCTGAATAAACCCTACAACTGACTTGGCCTTTTAGTGTCCTTGCATGTTTTTTCGATGTGGAAGAGTTGCATCACTCGTCATACTTGTAAGTATTCAAACTCACATTTTAAAAAAGACTTGAGAGAGATGATTAATATTATGGAAGAATTAAGATGAGATCCCAATAAAAGAAAATAATTATAAAATAAATCTTAAAAATGGTTATATCCTGCCTTGAAACTTGTTATTACCGGTTGCTTAAGTTGTTATTGAGACTTTTTAGTAAGTATTACTTCCAGTTCTTAATATAAAATCTTGTTTGACTTTTATTTTGATCTTAAATATAAGACTTCAATTCACTTTATCTCTCATGTTTATTCTTTTTTTTTATAGTCCTTATAATAATGGTAATTTTAGCTAAAAAACTTGACTAGCAGGGATATTTTATGAAAAATAATACTTATTTATTACAAATAATTAATTTAATTTATATTCTTAATCTACTCAAACAAGTCAACCAGCTTTTATACTCCTCCGGTCCTTATTATAAGACCCCATTTGACTTTTTATTTAGTCCTAATTATAAGACCCTAATCCATTTTGTCTCTTATATTTATGCATTTTTTCCAAGATAATCCTTCTAATGATGATAGTTTTAGCCAATATACTTAATTAGTAAGGATATTTTAGGAATGATAACACTTATTTATTATAAATAACCAACTTAACTTATTGGAAAAAATGCATAAATATAAGAGACAAAATGGATTGGGATCTTATAATTAGAACCAAATAAAAAGTCAAATGGGATCTTATAATAGGACGGATGAGTATATAAATAAGAGTAGCAAAACAACAGGTAATCAGCAAAGGCAGCTCCAGGCATGTTTTATTGCTCGCTGACGTACGTTGATCATGGCGAACACAAATTGCGTTGCACCAAAAAAAAAAATTTCATATCGTATTAATCAAAACAATACATAATATTTGAATACAAAATGCCAAAAAAAAAGTGAGCTGAGTTTTAAAAATTGCAACAATAAAAACCTAAACGTGAATAAGAAAACGGAGAAGACGACTTGGAGACTTAAGTAATAAAATAAAAAAAAATGGAGAGAGGCGAATGGAGAATAGAAAGAAAATAACAACGTTGTCTGAGGATTAATAAAGACGGGCTTTTCAGCTACGTACTATTCAACCAAAAAAGCCGTTGGACGCATTTGTACCGAGTGTAAACCTTTTTTTTTTTTTTTTTTCTAACCAGCGCACGGAGTCTAGACTAACAGTCTTTATTACACACACACATTACCTCCTGTCATAATTATAAAAATTTGTTTATATAATATATTAATATAAAAGTAAACATTAATCAAGTTATATAGCTATTTTTAAGTAATTAATAGCATGATTTTTTTGGTAAGGAATTAATAGCGTGATTTATTACCTAGGTTTTATGCATATATACAGGATATACATGATATATTTATGACTGTAAAATTGCATTATGTAAATTTATTTATAGTTCAAGTTGAAAATTAAAATAGTAAGTGGTGAAAAAATTTATAATTTATGAGAATTGGGTGGATGCTTGTGCGATTACTGATTGCAAAGCTAAACAGAAACAGCTGGCGGAAAATTGAGAAATAATGACGAAACTTGACGTTGTTGTCAATTAACGTAACGTCGAACATATTAAAAAAGAACATATTCAGCGGTCACTAATACTTCCCCTGCCCAAGTGTAGTGGTTTCAACGTATAATACTATCCCCGCTCCTTAATATAAGAGCTAGTTAACTAATTTGAGTATATTTAAAAATTTAGTTAAACTAACTATTTGTAATAAATAAATATTGTCTTTTCTAAAATATCATTACTAATCAAGTGTATTGACTAAAACTACCATTATTATAATGACTACATTTGAAAAGAATGAATAAATATAAGAGATAAAGTGGATTGTGGTTTTATATTTAGAACCAGAATAAAAATCAAACAAGCTCTTATATTAATGACTGGAGGTAGTACTGAATAAGAATAATTAAAGAAAGTCAACATACATTTGTTATAAATAATTAACTTAATTAATTTTCTTAATATTTCCAAATTACTTATTTAACTCTTATAATGCCTCCAATCCTAGATATAAGAATTAGTTGACTAGTTTGAGGAGATTAAGAAAATAAGTTAAATTATTTATTTCTAATAAATAGATGTCTTTTCTAAATATCTTTACATACTAATCAAACGTATTGGCTAAAACTATTATGATCAAAAAAACTATATCAAAAAAAAAGTACAAATATGAGAGATAAAATGAACTAAAGTCTTACATTTATGACTAAAATAAAAATTAAATAAGATCTTATATTAAAAGTGAAATGTACTATTATTTAGCTTGGAAAATGACGATGGCTGGCTAGAAGGTTCCTTAC